GCAAAGGAATCGAGGCTGTCTTCAGAGAAATGGGCCATGATGAAAAGGGCTCTAGTAGGGGAGGTGGTGCAGAGACAACAGTTCCGGTGGTGCAGACTGGAGGACTTATCCCTGGACAGAAACAGGAGCCACCACAGCAATCACAGCAGCAGCTTGCAGTCACAGCTCTGCACTTGCCAGGCTCTTATAAGCAGTCAGTGTTTTCTGGATTACTCCATTTAATCTTCCAAATGAGGTTAAGTCCCACTGTTCCGCCACTGAACTGATAAAACCACTACCTCAGGTCACCCAGAATTAGGAGAGCTTATATCTGAACCCCAGCATGCTGATCCTTGATCCACACTAAACTGTTCTTTCTCTATTTTATATTAGTTTAAATAACTGAAATGATGTCTACGTATTTGGGTGACAAAAGGATGGATCCAGCTCCACAGAGTGAACCTCTGCAATTCAGCACTCTCAACAGATGTTGGCTGAGGTTCTAAGGCTGAAAAACAATGTCAAACGCAGGGCCTGTGCTTAGAACACACACGGGTCAGAAGCTGGGAAGCCCATCCTTTCATCTATTAGGAGGGCAAGAAAGAATTTTCTGAGCACCTGCATGACTGCAGACCAATGCAGAGATGCTACTTCCTCTTTGCCCTCAGCAGACAGGCTGGTAAATATCTGCACCTCTCATGTACTTCCCTCTAACAACACTGGTTTTGGAAATAATGCTGAATTCAAATAAACTCATCGTTTTGTTGATGTTTATTTAAAATTGTATGTAGATAGCCAGGACAACATGGCTACGAATGTGTGTTTAGTAGATTAGCATGAATAAAATTCAATAGATTGTTTTCTTTTAATATATATCTTAGAAAAACAGTCAATAAATTTCCTCAATATTCTTAAAGGCAGCTGTGGCCTTACTCTTTATCCCTAAGTCATATGTAAGAAATCACTGTTTTTATCATATTTCAGTACAATATTCAGAAATTGGGGTTGGAGCTGGGGTCAAGGAGCTCCCCACTCTTTGGCTGGTAAGTTAGGGCATCTGTGACTGGGACTGAAGACTCCAGAGGTTGACACACCTCTCACCCGTGACTTCAGGCGGAAGACTACTCCTGGGCTGTTTTTAGGCATTCCAAATAACAGCACTTGTCCATTTCACTGTCCACGTGGCTACTCTGCAAATAATGGAAATATTTCCACATGCATACATCGAGGTATGATCAATTGTGGGTGACTATAAAGTAGTAATAAAATCATCCTTTTAAATAACTGAAATGGCAATTGACCATTAAGCCTGTTATTCATACCAGCAACATTTCAATGATTCAGAAATAAGGAAAATGGGTAAAGTGTTTACATTTTGCAGTTCCAAACTACTTGTATCTTTTAGAACAACAACAGCAACACACTCTCGGTCTCTCAATGTAGACACATACATGCATACATAGACACACACATCCCTGTATGCGCATATACAGATGTGTCTGTATGAAAGCAACAATAAAAATATACTTTTAGCATTTTATACAAATTTTCTAATTTTGAGAATATTTGGCACACCAAGAAAGAGGCCAGTTGGAATATTTTGGCTCTTAAGGCTCACAGGAGAGAGGAAAAGAGAAGGGGAAAAGGACAATGCAGTTGTAGGGTCCAGGTCCAGGCCCAGTATGAGCTTGGAGATGCCACAACGATGGAGAAGTGCGGGACAAAGCATTAGAAATAGACACGAAGGTTCTGCTCACCTGTTTCAGGACAGTAGGGAGATCACCCTGGCACCGCGGGCATGTTCATCACTGCCAAACCAGACAGCAGACCATCCATTAATGACGCAGAAGAATGATCACTGTAGGGACGGGGGTCACTGAAGCGAAGCACTGGCACCAGGAACATCCGTGTTGTTCGTATGTGCCTTATGCCGAGTTCGTATTACTGAGCAATGTCTAGAATTCCCAGGGGTTCACGTAAAAGTCAAAAGTTTGGAAACCTATTATTTATAGTAATGCCCTTTTAAAGCATTCTCTAGGAAGTCACTATGAGCTTTTTGTAATTCAAATTCTACAGAAGTATATAGAGTCCTTTCCTCTCTAGACTCTAGCCAAGGGCTCTATAATGTAAACTTAAGAGCACTTCCTGTTTGTATTAAAACAACAACAATAACAGAGAGCTGTATGGCTCCCAGTTAGAAAGTATCTCTTAGGTGTTGATGCTTCATGAAGCACAATGATGGTTCTGAGGCGGGTGCAAGTGATTTTGGATTAAATGACCCTAAGACGTGACTTGTAAAGATTACACGTGGTCAAAGAGAAGTGGTATGGGGGAGAGAGCGAATCCTAAAAAAGAGACAAGCCTCGTTTACACTTTATTCGTAAACTTCATTTTAGAACACTTTTAGGTTTACAGAAAAGTTATGCAGTATAGAGAATTCCTATATACCCTGCACCCAGTTTGCCTATTATTAACAGCTTGTATTAACATAGTACATTTGTTAAAAGCAATGGACCAGTATTGGCACGTTATGTTACCTAACATCCTATTTCTGTTCCCGCATGCCATTCAAGATACCCCATCACATCTACTTGTGTCTCCTTAAGCTCCTTTTGAGTTTGAAAGCTCGAGGCATTCCCTGTCTTTAATGACCCTGGCAGTTTTGAGGGGCATTGATTAGATGTTTTATACGGCATTCTTCAGCTGGGGTTTGTCTGATGTTTTTCTCATGATTAGGCTTTTTTTTTTTTTCTTTATTGTGATTTTATTTTTAACTTTAGCATAACAATCAACTTCCCAACCACAATCCTCTTAAAGTGAGATAAAATTAATTTTTAATGACTAAGAACACATCTAGTTGGGCAGAAGTGGAACAAAACCCAGGGTCAGCTCATTGGCTGTGATCCAGAGCTCCGCTTAAGACATGCATGGTCTTAGAGACCCATCATTTGCCTTGAGAAAATGAAGTGGCTGAATTATTTTCCCTAAATAAATAGTGTCTGGCATAGAGTTAGGCCTCATGACTGTCTGACAAATATTGAATGTCTCTGCTCAAGGAATTACAAATAAAAAATGAAAATTTACCTGTGTCTGTCTGTCTATCCTATCTATCTATCTATCTATCTATCTATCTATCTATCTATCTATCTATCTATCATCTATCTATCTATCCATCTGATATGGTTTGGCTCTGTGTCCCCACCAAATCTCATCTTGAATTGTACTCCCATAATTCCCACATGTTGTGGGAGGGACCTTGTGGGAGATAATTTGAATCATGGGGGTGGTTTCTCCCATACTGTTCTCATAGTAGTGATTAGGCTTTGATGATGTGTTTTTAGGAAGAAGGGCACAGAGGTTAAGTGTCATTTTCCTCACAACATAGCAAGTGTATTGTATTGGGCTACATCAAAATAAATACCCCAAAACACATTTTCAACTCCTAGTTCCCAGAACCTATAAATGTGACTGTACTTGAACTAGGTTATTTGCAGGTTTAACTGCATTAGAGATCTTGAGATGAGATCATCCTGGATTTAGAGTAGACCCAAAACCCAAGGACTGTGTCCTTGCAAGAGAAAGTTGATGGGAGATTTGAACACAGAAACACATGGGGGATAAGGCCATGGGAAGATGGAGACAGATACTGGAGCAATGCAGCCCCAAGCCAAGGAAGCCCAGGGCACCAGAAGCTGAAAGAAGCAAGGGAGGGCCCTCCCATGGAGCCTTCAGGGGCAGTGTGGCCCAGCTGACACCTTCGTTCCAGACCTTTGGCCTCTGAACTCTGAGAGAATAAATTTCCTTTGTTTTAAGCAACCCAATTTATGGTCATTTGTTACACTAGCCCTTGGAGATGGAACAGGCATTTACTATCCACATGACTTCACCACTGATGTGAACCTTGATCACCTAGGGGAGGTGGGATTGTCAGATCTCTCCACTGTTATCTGTGACTATTGCATGGTCACAATGATGCGTAGTAACTAACCTTACTATGCATGGTCACAGTTCGCACTCAAGGAATGGGAACTATGCACCACCTCCTTGCAGACACCTTAGATACATCTATGTTTGAAATCCTTTTGGAATTCTTCTTCATGGGAAACCTGTCTCTTCTTCTCTTCACCTTATTTACTTATTTAATCATTTATTTATGATAGTATAGACTCATGGATATTTATGTTTTGGATTTTAATCCAATACTACATTATTCTTTTTGTTGGTAACTTGTGCCAGATTTGGTCACTGGGAATTCTACCAGTTGATTCTTGCATTTCTTTGAAATAATCTCATTATTGCAGGTTTTTTTGTTGTTGTTTTGCTGTTGTTGTTTGTTGTTTTTGTGTGTGTGTGTGGATTTGCCTTGTATTTTTTTGTTTTGTGAACACTTTCTGAATTTCTAGCAAATGGTGCTCCAGGCTCATCTTGCGAGTTTGCTGCTTCTGAACTGGAACCAGCCATTTCTCCAGGAGTCCTCCTTCCCCTTCTTGGAGAACACCATCAGATGTAAAGAGCTGGATGCTGGCTGGGCTCTTGCTAGTGCGTTGAGTTTGCTTTTTGATTTGCTATATATTACCTATTTGTCCTTGAATATGCTACTTAGCCTCTCTGTTTCATTTTATTTAACTTTTAATGAGGGTTATAAAATACCAAAAATAATTCCTAACCAATCTTGATTTAATAAACTATCAAAACTAATACCTATTTTCCATTTGCCCTTTAAACCATCTGACTAGTGACTACACAAAGGAAAGATCTGATGACGTGAAGTCACTTAAAAATCCTAGAAAATGAGATATTTGAGCCACTCACAGGGAGAAAGCAAAGTGTAAAAACTGGAAGTGTTCAACATTCAAATTACTTTGCATATTACCTGTAAGATTTCACCATCTTACTGGAAGCACAAGCACAGAAATTGTGAACTAAGCCTTTTGTGTACATTTTTTCAAGAAGGAGAACTTGGAAATTAAAACAGCAACAGATCCATATTCAAACAAGTTGATTCTGCCCTTTTTGAAAGATTGATAAATAAATGGACACATTTTATTTAACTGGTGAGTCACGAGGGGCTTCAGCCAGTGGCTGATTACCAGCAGGTCTGGAATATTTTTGTGTTTTAATAGCTCCCATGCTGTCTTGGTGTGTACTGGCTAACTGTACCCCCAGCATGGGAGTCTGAGGTTAACAATTTCATGCCATAACTGACTCTTCAGTAACCAGTTGGTGAACCTGCCAAGAGGGCTTTACCACTATGATTTCCTGAGGCGGGTGTAGGACAACTCCTGGCAGGCAGAGTCTTTCCACATTCTGGTCTGTGAAACCATCACTGCCATTGTCTCCTCCTTGTCAGCATTAGCCTTGACTCCAGGATGACTTGACTCTGCCCAACCAGAGATGTTCTTTGGCAGAGTTTTTGGCTGCATTCTAACTGTGTCTGTAAATTGAAAGTGCAGAGATTTTGGTGAGACATGATGAAGATCAGCACCACCAGTGCAATCCCTAATCTCCTTACGTCTAGTTTTCTCCTCTGTATGAAGGGAAGTATAATTCTTAATGTGTATGGCAAAAATTAAAACAAGAAATTAATGCTATGAGATGTTTGTAAGGAGCATTCAATAAACGTATCTATTGCCAGCTGCATTTTATATAGACAAAGATGTAAAGAGTGGCAAGGCAGGCAGGCAGAGAGAAGATTGAGAGGCAGCATGGGGGCACTTCAGACAGAAGGATGCCTATGGTGCTGTGGGAGCAAAATGAAAACATTATATAATTACTTTCCATCTGCCAGGAATTGCTCTAAATGCTTTCCAGGTGGTTCTCACTTGCTCCTCAGCTAGTGCATTAAAGCCTTCTCACTTCACCGGATAAAAACTGGGGCACAGAGAGGGCTGCCCCTTGTCCAGAGTCCATCACTTCTCCAATCCAGATGCTGGCTCCAGGCCCACTTTGAGTGCTGCTGGCTTGTCCCGGAGGACTGCGCATGAGAGCAGGAGCTCTTGGAAGCACAGTCTTTGTTCGGAGAGCAGTTAGTTAAGCAAAGGATGAAGGAATTATAACTGGGGAGACGGCATGACTACTGCAAAGGTTTGGTGCCCCACATGGCCAGGGACTCTCTAGCAGGGGTGACTGCCTTTGAGGGCTTTTTGGGGGAGGGATGGGTGTGTACCTGGAAGTCACATACAATGGCTGGTTATTAAACGCTAATGAATCCGTGCACATTTTATCAAATGTCTTATTTTCTGGTGAAAATAATATATGGTTCTCCTGAACTCTCAGGGGAATGGAAGGAAAAGGGCTAGTTGGCACACAATTGAGCATGCACATCTTTTATTCTAAAAAATATTGAGACCTGAAAATATGAGCAAGATAGATGGTAAGGAGGCAAAAAAAAAAAAAAAAAAAGGATGTCTATTAGACCAGGAGTCCCCAACCTCTGGGTCATGGACTGGTACTGGTCCATGGCCCATTAGGAACTGGGCCACACAGCAGGGGGTGAGCAAACAAAGCTTCACCTGTGTTTACAGCTGCTTCCCATCACTCGCATTACTGCCTGAGCTCCACCTCCTGTCAGATCAGCAGCGGCATCAGATTCTCATAGTTCTTCACAATTCCACTGTGAACTGTGCAAGTGAGGGATTTAGGTTGTGTGCTCCTTATGATAATCTAATGCCTGATGATCTGAGGTGAACAGCTTCATCTTCAAACCATCCCCCCCTCAACACCCTGTCCATGGAAAAACTGTCTTCCATAAAACAATACACTAGTGCCAAAAAGTTGGCGACCGTTGTATGCCAATGGCAACTATATTGCTAGAACTGTGGCAACAAACCGGATTTTTTAAACAACAAAAATTTGCTAGGCGTCGTAAGATGCCTGTAGTTCCAGCTATTTAGGAGGTTAAAGCAGGAGGATTGCTTGAGCCCAGGAGTTTGAGTCTAGAGTGGGCAACATAGTGAGACCCCTGTCTCCAAAAAAAAAAAAAAATCAAAACAACAGAAATTATTACCTGATAGCTTTGGAGGCCAGAAGCCGAAGATCCATGGGTTGGCAGAGCTAATTCTTTCTCAGACTGGAAAGGGGATGCTGTTCCAGGCTTCTCTCGTAGCTTCTACAGTTTGATGGCAATATTCAGCATTCTTGGACTTGTAGAAGCTTCACCCCAAACTCCGCCTTCAACTTCATATGGTGTGCTCTCCATGTTCATATCTATCTCCACAATTTTCTCTTTTGTAAGGACATCAGTCATATTGATTAGAACCCACCTTAATGAGGTCATTTTAAGTAGATTACCTCTTTAAGGACCCACCCTCCAAAGAAGGTCAAGCTTGGAGGTACTAAATGCTGGGACTTCAAGATATATTTGGGGCAGGTTGGAGGGACACAATTAAACCCATCACAGTGAGAGTAGTTAAAACCATGTACTAAGTATAAATTATAACAGTAGGATAGTCCTTCATGTTTATTTGAAGCACGTGAAAATTATTCACAAAAAAATTCTCACGTTAGGGGTTGCAACTTCAGTTAATTTTTTTTTTTTTTTGAGACGGAGTCTCGCTCTGTTGCCCAGGCTGGAGTGCAGTGGTGTGATCTCGGCTCACTGCAAGCTCTGCCTCCCGCGTTCATGCCATTCTCCTGCCTCAGCCTCCCGAGTAGCTGGGACCACAGGTGCCCACCACCACGCCCGGCTAAGTTTTTGTATTTTTAGTAAAGATGGGGTTTCACTGTGTTAGCCAAGATGGTCTTGATCTCCTGACCTCGTGATCCACCCACCTCGGCCTCCCAAAGTGCTGGGATTACAGGAGTGAGCCATAAATGTTATTTATCTCTTACAGGCTGTTATAAAATCATCCAAATATCTTTATTTTATACTAATCAAAGAATAACAGCACTTAAATTTGTCATCACTCTGAATGTGCTACAGCATTTCAGAATTGTTTGCATAGTCTTTTTAATCATGAGAATTGAATATATTTTTGGTGTGACATTGTTAATGTACATAAAAAATAAAGTTGTATCTAAAATGCATTTTACTTCAGTTGGAAGTGGAAGGAATAAGATTTATTCTTATGTCAAATTAATTTTTCACAGCTCTTCACAATACAGTTCTAAGTTAAATCATGTTTATTTTAGATAACTTAAAATCATCATTTTTGTTTAACACATTCATGAGAAGCAAAAGTCTATTTTATAGGCCAGAAGAACAAAGGAACATTGTAAAAATAAACTTTTAAAAATGGATCTATTTCTCCCCCAAAGAGAAACTATTCTAAATCCACCAATGGGTGTCATTTAGAGCAACTGTTCCCAAATTGTTCTGGGATGTGTGCGGGTCCCTGAGGTCCCTCCAGGTGACCCGCAGGCTAATCTCATGTAGTATTGATGCTTCTAATATGAAAATGTCTATATTTTAGTTTCCAGAATGGATGGTTTATGAATAATGTATAATATTTAATAAAACCAGACACTGCCTCATTAATGTCTCATCAAAAGTAGAATGGATCTTTCCCTTATATCTGGCATTTTTGGGTCATGTACTAGACACAAGTGTGGGTGGATATACTTATTTCGCCCTACTAAACACAGTTATATTCCAGAGAATCTGATAATTAATTTTTAGAAGTTGTAATCACTAACCAGATTTAACTCAAAATAAAAATTACATGCAGTTATTAATTTATTTACTTTGCAGTGAGTATTTTTGTTTGCTTGAAAATCGTTATGAGAAAGGTGAAGTCCAGATTCCAGGAAAAGGATTTCTCTGAAGAGCACACAGTACATTAGCATGAAGTTCCAGGGTTGCTGCTTAATACATATTTTTAAAATTGAACTGTTTGAGGATAATCACAATATTTGTTTTGAGGATGCTGATTATTTGGTATGAGAAAATTATACTGGGAAAAAAAACTCCATTGCTCTGTGACACTGAGGTATCGGTCTACACTCAGATCTCAGATTACCTAAGAAATGAATGATTCCCATTAGTTACTCAGTATGTTATCTGGTCAATTATTTGCTTTCCCAACAATTACAACTGCTACAGTGAATTCATAACTGCTCTAAGTGATGATAGTAAATAATTAGTTTTATCTAATCTTGGCACTGTATTCCTGAAGAATCTGCATCAATCTTAATATTTTGTCACTGACTTTTAAAAATCGTGCTCACTTAGCCTTTTCCCAAGCTGGCATATATATCATTTTACATCTAAATATGTCTTGCATTTTACATGAAAACTTATATGCTTTAGTCATTTTGAACTCTCCTTCTCTTTCTTTTTTCCTCTCTGTTGTAGGACATGGTGGGGATGGAGTGGGAAGGAAGGAAGCAGATTGGTGAGGCTGGGCAGTGTTGGTGTGACGAAGGGTAGGTGAGTGGGTATCTTTGATCTCTGGGCTGGAGTCAGTGAAGGCTGAAGAAACACTCCTTAAGGAATTATTTCTCCTGGAACTGGAAATCACAGGTTTCCTGAATCAAATGAGTTGACTCTGAATTCTAGTATCTGAAGTCTTGGCTGTTTGAAAAGTAACTTCTAGAGGCTGCGAGGACCCCGATACCTTTATAATCTCAAGTCATTTACAGTCTTCCCTGAGACCATTTGTCAAATTCATTGAATCATCCCGGAAAATGCTATGCCCTCCCACTCCCCACCATTACCTTCTGGGTAAAACCCCAGATCCTCAACACGACCTGCAATTGCCTTTCATTATGTGATCCTGGCAACCTCTGTAAGACCACCTCACTTCATTCCCCAACCCATAACTGGCACTTCCTGTGGGGAAAGTCTCCAATATGTGCTGGTCCTTCCGTCCATCCCTGCCTTGCCTATGTCACCTCTTCTGTGCTCAACATTGAGGCCAGTGTATTACTCTTTTAACCCTAGAATAAAAGCTCACACAGCATCTATGGGGTTTTCCCATGATGGCCTAGGTTGAACATTTTCCCACCTGGTACTCATCACAGGACCCTGTAATTGCCTGGTGGCTTGTCACATTAGCTGGAGATTTCCTAGAAGTCAAATAATTAACTATCAATTTTATCTAAATTTCTGTAACTTAAGAGGGTACACAGTATGTGGTAGATGCTCTGGCAAAGGTCTAACGACTGACTGACCACAGGAAGCTTTAAGGGAGGCAGAAAATGGGACAGTTGACATAGATGAGGCAAAGAGGGTGAAAGGTGATGCCCTGCTAGGGAGCTGCCTTCTTCTGCAAAGATGGGTTTTCTGCACGTGGTGCTACAAAGAAAACATGCTACATTACTCACTTTCAGGAAACTTGGTCTATAAAGGACATTATGGACTTTAACCTAATCACAGGATCTTGGAGATATTGATATTTAAATTTACTTAGTTTTAAAAATCAGGACATTAGTATTATTTCATTTTGACTAGGAAATTGTTCTGTTAACAAAGCAGAGAAAGAAATGAGCTGGGAATTGGGGTGAGTAACTATGGCTAAAGAGAGTGGGAAACGTTATAGATTGGTTTCAATCATTCTGGCAAGTGATAACTAACAAGATAGTAGATGGAGAGGAAAACGCACTGGCCAACAAAAGTTCTTAACATTTTCATGAAGAAGTTCCACTGAAGCCCCTTATCACATGCTACAGGGACACCACTTTTGCAAATGCTCTTTGGTTTTATAATGAACATTGCAAGGGATGCCACTTAGCTGGATGGCATCGATCCCCTTAATGAAGGTGTATCTATCCCAGAGTTATTTTTGACTCTCTCCTAATTTGCTGATTCTCTCCTCTCCTACTCCAGTTTCTTTCTGGCTTTCCTTCCCATTGCATTTTTTCCCCACCAAATTCTATTTGTGAATCAATTTGTCCCTAAGAATAGAGCAGCCTTTGCAAAAATGTATCCAGTACATAAAGAATGGAGAGTACAAGCAAGTAAATCAAAGGTGATCCAATTAGTGATTTTTTTTCTAGAACAGGAGTACTGAGTCTTCATTTATACTTGGAAAAAATATAGAGCACTAAAATAAAAATTACTAGTTCATGATACTTTTTAAAGAAAAGTGCAGATGCATTTAAAAAGTTATTTTTTTTTTTAAATCGGCTAACAGAGAGATGCCAGGCAGCAGGTGTTCCCTGAGGAAGATGGTTATGTATTTATGGCAGGTTTAACACCGAAGATTCTGAAATCTTCTCATCTGTAACCAAATCCATTGAGCAGAGCAAAGGTGACATCACCAAAACAAGGAAACCGTCCTTACCATTCTGGAGGGGATCAAAATAAGAGGGTCTAGATGGATCCTGTTTTATGGGCCGCTCTTCTTGGAATCCAGATCACTAAAAAGAACCCTCAGTTATAAAGAGCAAGAGGCTCTCTGCCCCTCTCCTCTACAGTGGGGATTTTTCCCAGGATTATTGGTTGTTTATCTTTTAATAACAATACAGAGCTTTAGAGAGCGGAAGCAACAAAATCTCCTGTTTTTCATTTCCCTTGCAATATCTCATCGAGATGATTCCAACCACCTCCTCTGCTGGCAACCCAACTAGATATCCACCACACTCCAGTGCATCCTCCACACACAGTCTGTGCCGGGCGGTTCGGCTTTGGGTTGAAGATGTTTAATGTCTTTTCTAAACTGGCCCTAGACATTGGCGGATTAAATGATTAGAGAAAACATCAGTAAATCTCAAAAGGCAGAAAAATACATCTGCTCATTGATTGACTCAAATCATCTACGAGTTAAAGCAGAATACAGTTTCAAATAGAACCTTTCCAGTAACACATTCCATGGAATGGGTGAGTCAGGGTTTTGAGATACCCATGGCCACTGTGCGGTGATTGCCAAATCAGGATAAAATGGGACTGTGCTCAGCTTGCTACGCAGCACAAATTTTTGCACATAAATGGGCACGTTTTTGGTTTAACACAGCTATTACATGACATATTAAAAAGGTTCTATGGAAAAAGGTAGTACCCAGCACAGTAGAAATCATTATTGATTTATTGTCCTTGCTGTGTCATTAGGATGGTTAAGTCTTTGAAGTGTGATGATGAGGAAAGCAGGGGCTCGATATTTCATGCAGAGAATCCAAAGAAAAATTAAATAATCATCACATAGTGCTGGAGAATTTTTTTTTCTTTCTTTTTTTTTTTTTTTTTTGAGACAGAGTCTTGCTCTGTCGCCCAGGCTGGAGCTCAGTGGTGCCAACTTGGCTCACTGCAAGCTCCGCCTCCCGGGTTCACGCCATTCTCCTGCCTCAGCCTCCCGAGTAGCTGGGACTACAGGCGCCCACCACCTCGCCCCGCTAACTTTTTGTGTTTTTAGTAGAGACGGGATTTCACTGTGGTATAGATCTCCTGACCTTGTGATCCGCCCACCCTGGCCTCCCAAAGTGCTGGGACTACAGGCGTAAGCCACCACGCCCAGCTGAGAATATTTTTACAAAGTAATAAAAGAGCGCACATATCTAAGGTCCTTGGTTTTCTTGTTGCAGTATCTGGATAGAATAAGAGAATTGTATAATCATGGTGAA